TCACCCAACGCAGTGCGCCCCCGCCCACCGCCACCCACGCTCACGCCCTTCCACCCACCCGCCAGACCCCGAGGCCACCCACGCACCTGTTGGGGAGAGAGGCAGAGCGTTCCTTTAAGGATTCTTAAGGTTAAAGACACGCACTTGCGCACGAACACGCACATGCACACACAAAAACACTTACACACGTACACGCGCGCACACACACACACACACACACACACACACACACACACACACACACACACACACACACACACACACACACACACACACACACAACACACACACACACCACACACACACACACACACGAGTGAACTTCAGCATCCTGTTTTTTATATTCTGCATGCCACCACAAAATCAATAAACAAACAAACAAGTTATATAAAAACAAGAAAGGTGAGCTTCGTAAAACACTCCAAAGCCGTATTCATTAAACTTCAAAAACCCAATAATCATTACGGCGGAAAATTCATCCAGAAAAAAGATTACCTAATTGGGATCGTGGAGAAAAACAGTAACATGATAAGCTGTATAATGGACAAAAGGAGGAGGAGGAGGAAGAGCAGAAGAAAGAAGAAAGAAGAAAAAAGGAGGAGGAGGAGAGGAGGAGAGGAGGAGGAGGAGGAGGAGGAGGAGGAGGAGAGAAGAGAAGGAGGAGGAGGAGAGAAGAGAAAGAGAGGAGGAGGAGAGGAGGAGAATGAGGAGGAGAATGAGAAGAGAAGAGGAAGGAGAAGGATAAGAAGTGAAAGAGGAAAGAGAGGAAGACGAAGAAGAAGAAAGAAGAAAAAGAAAAAGAAAAAAGAAAAAAACACCCGAAGGCAGTGCGACAGTTCGAAAGACCAGGCATGCCCCTTGTTTGTTTGCTTACGCCGGCCAATTCCGAAACAATGGCGCCCTAATTGGTTTCCAGGGCGGCCGAGATCGCTGCCGGACTCCCCCATCTCCACCCCCTCCCCCACTCACCGCTCCCCGCGAGAGCATCAGCAGGTAATTGCACCTTTGCTAATTGGCCTTCAAGCAAGCGGGGCCAACAACGCAACAATAAGGGATCCAGTTCTTGACATTCGATCTCCTCCTCCTCCTCCTCCTTCGGCATGGCTCCCACTCTCCTCCCCTCCCTCCTCCCTCCCCCCCCTCCCCCTCCCCCTCCTCCTCCTCCTCCTCCTTCCTCCTCCTCCTCCTCCTCTCCTCCTCCTCCTCCTCCTCCTCCTCCTCCTCCTCCTCCTCCTATCCTTCTTTTCCTCCTCCTCCCCTTCCCTCCTTCTAAGAGCCTCTGCCCTGCTAAGAACCCCCTCGAATCCTACCAGCCCCACCAAAGGCTATTACTACGGCCGCCAAGCTACCAGCGTATCGGCTCCTGGCGCGTATCTCCCGGATCTTTATGAATGGGCAATGACGTCACACACACACTACCTACTCATACTCCCCATCCCCCGATCGACGGAGTGGGGAGGGGGGAGGGTAGTGGAGGTGGTGGGGAGGTGGAGTGGGGAGGGTGGGAGGGAGATTGGGCGGGAGGAAGAACAGGAAGACAAATAGGAAGAGAAAGAAAAAGAATAGAAAGAGCGTGAGGAGGATAATGGAATGAAATGAAGGAGCAGGGAGTGGAAAAGGAGAAATAAACAAAAACAGAAATATGATTATGGAAAAGACCTAAAAAGAGGGAGAAAAAAAAAAAAAAGTGGAAAGAGGAGAAAATACCCGCCTCGCGCTCATCTCATCTGTAAACAAAACTTCCTCCTCACACCTCATAAACCTCTCGAAAATTCCTCGTTCGACTCTCAATGGATTCCCTTTTTCTCTTTAGCTTTTAGCTTTCCCTCTCCCTCTCCCTCCCCTTACCTCCTTCCTCCTCATCTCCTACCTTCCCTTCACTCTATTTTACTTCCCACTTCCCTCCTCCTTCCATCCTCCACGTCTTCCTCTTCCTCCTCCTGCTTTTTCTTTTTTGCTCCTCTCTCTCTCACCCTCCCTAAGGGGAATGTAAGAACATAAGTATGTCAGTATGAGCGCACACACACACCTGCTCGTCGCCCGCGGGACGATCCAAGGTTGCATTTCGGGATGCGCCTCCTCCTCCTCCTCCTCCTCCTCCTCCTCCTCCTCCTCCTCCTCCTCCTCCCTCCTCCTCCTCCTCCTCCTTCCTCCTCCCTCTCCTCCTCCCCTCCTCCTCCTCCTCGCCACCGCCGCCCTCTTTCCTCCTCGCCGCCGCTGCCCCACTCCTCCTCCTCCTCCTCCTCCTCCTCCCCCTCCTCCTCCTCTCCTCCTCCTCCTCCTCCTCCTCCTCCTCCTCCTCCTCCTCCTCCTCCTCCTCCTCCTCCCCAAACCATAATTACGATCTAATTATTCGAACAGGCTCTCTGCTACAAAAAAAGGAACACTAATAAAATAATACAATTCCACCCCCCCTCCACCACCCTCCTACCATCCCCCCTCATCCCCCCCCCCCCCTTCAACCGTTCAATTACCATTAATCGGCGTGATTAGCGAACCCCGGCGCTAACTAACTATATACGGCCACCGACCAAAACCGAAACCCGTTCCGTTCTAGGAGGGAAGGAGGGAGGAAGAGTGGTGGGAGGGAGGGAGAAGAGAGGGGGGTAGGGAGGAGGAAGAAGTGAGGGTAGGAGAGGAGAAGTGAAAGTGAGGGGGAGGGAGGAAGTGAGGAGGGAGGAAGAGCGGGTGGAGGAGTAGGGAGGAGGGGGTGGGGGAGGGAGGGAGGGAGGGGGCGAGAGGGAATCGAAAATCCTGCGCTTAAAATAGAACGACAAGGAACCAGTGGCATTTTCATTAAGGAGGTCCCTTGCCTTGGGAGGGGGGAGGGGATTCATCTAATTTTTTCTCTCTGTCCTGATCCAATTCCGTTCCACTGCCAAAAAGGTCATAAATCATCCAAATATTAGTGTACTAGAAGCAAAACCTGACTTACGTTGTATCGTTATATTCTTTGATGCCATATTTGCAATTCAATGTAGCAAACCTTTTCAGTAATCACCGTCCCGAAACTCTTTTTATTGCGCCAAAGACCGTGGGACATACCTTGGTTAAACATCTGGATTTCTCCTCAATTAATTTATATTTAAAACTATGAACAACGTCAAATAATTTTTTCGACCGTCGATTTATTGTATAAAAGTCATGATCTATTGACAACAGTGTTTCTTTCCCCCCTGGACTCACCGACACACGTGCGCCATGGCGTCTTCGAAGAGCACGAGGTTCATGGCAGCGTTTAGCTCGTTGTAGGTCGTGAGAGCGTCCTGCAGAATGGCACTGAGGTCGTCCCACGTCTTGATGGGGAGGTACCGAGGCTCCCCGATGCCGCGGGCGAAGTGGCAGAAGACGTTGGGCTTGGCCATGACCTCCGCTTCGTCAAGCTCCTGCAGAGGAGGTGGCGTTAGGGCGTGTCTGTGTAGGATAATGTGTCAATGGCGTTTTAGATACCATACTCCGTTATGTCCAGTGCGAGATATTACACAAGGAAAATGCGAATACTTGATGTTGCTTCCCCATACCAGCACGAGGAATCTCGCTTATGAACAAAGCACGTCAAAAAAAAAAAAAAAAAAAAAAAGTCAATACAAGCAAGGAGAGTTCTTGGCATCAATTATGAACATAACCAAAACCTGGGGAATGCCCTGACCTCTGCGACCTCTGCACAATCAACTCCCTCCCCCGGATGTTGAAAATGCATGACATGTCCATTGCAATTTTAATTCAAAGTTTAACAGAGATGACTTCATAAATTCCTAGTCCTCAAGGACTCAATAATTAGTTCCACCCATCACGCCTGTTTCCCATTGTCTTTGACTTCGAGTAGGTTCTTTTTTCTCCGTCATTTTTATGGTTATTAATATTTTAATAGAATTATAATAATATAGATATAGATAATATTATCTATATCAAAAGTTTTTTGGGAAAAACACAGTTCCCGCAAATTCAAGGAACGTGGAATTCGCGTCCGGTCAGCAGGGAGTACTAGTTAACTCCTTGTTGTCTGAGCGTTTGTGGAGCTATGCGCAATAAATCACAAAATAACTACAATGGACAGTACATAATCTCGGGACGAATGAGGTAAACGATAATGCAAATATACAGCATTATTATTTGAAGCCCATCTGGGGGCCAATAGCAGTAAGGGAGAAAAGCGACTTGGACCTTAAAGAGGAAAGTATGCTCAAATTATATCAGAAATGCGGAGATGGTTTCTGAAGGTGAACGAAGAACGTCTCCGATAAAAGCATTGCTGCAAAGAAAATGCACCATATCATCGTCTTCGAATATGGCAACAAAAGTTCATTAAAGGACTTTTGTTTACACCAACTGATTTTAAATACGGGTTTATTTTTGTTTGAATGCAAACCTGGAAACATGTATATATACAGTATACATACATACATACATATATATATATATATATATATATATATATATATATATATATATATATATATATGTATGTATGTATGTATGCATGGATGGATGTATCCAAATCAGCAAGTTATTACCTGCATAACTAGGAACAAATACATGGGAAGTGTGCAAAATTATTTTAAAGAGTACACACTGTTCCGTGAAAACGCTTAAATTCTTATTTAAGGAACTAAAATAGATAAAAACAACGAACAATAACTTATTTACTAGTTTAGCAACTCACGTTTTAATCACTTCTTGCAGTTTAATTCAATAACAGATTTTATACCTTTATATAATTGGGAAAGCAGTGCTTAGCAGTTACATTAACATTTTACCAGCGAACGATTACTTGGAAATCGTTTAACACTCTACACAGCCGCCCACACGGTCCTATGTGGGTGTTCCAACCACAACACTTAATGCATCTTACTGTCTTCTCAGGAGTAAAAAATGAACGCACCTGGGTTAATATGTATGCACACACACATGTATGTGCGTGTGTGTGTATACACACATCTTTGCACATGTTTATGTGTGTGTGTGTCGTATATATATATATATATATATATATATATATATATATATATATATATATATATATATATATATACATATATACATATATATATATTATATATATATATATGTATATATGTATATATATATATATATATATATATATATATATATATATACATACATACATATATATATATATATATATATATATATATATATATATATATATATATATATATTATATTATATATATACATAATATATATATATATATATATATATATATATATATATATATATATATATTAATATATTTATATATACGTGCATACACATACATACGTGTGTGGTTTGATGACCTCTTCCCTGCATACATATTTACATTGTGTATAGTTAATGAAAATAAATATATGAACATGCTAAATATTTGTGTAAAGCAATTTTACATAAAATTATTTAGGAAGACAAAAGCAGAAATATTTAATCTTTTAAAATTGACAGAAGGTTAAACTTCTGTTTAGCAGGCAGTGTGAAGTCCCTCATGGGTCTCAAACAGCGGCTCTCATCGTCTACGAAGCATTACTAGCAATTGAAACTATAAATACCTCTATCACCATCTGTTTCTCTTCATCGTCGCTCTTGGACGGGGGAAAAATGGCGGTGAGACATTGGTCTAAGGAAACACACTAACTAATCTAGGCCTGTATGAATCACGGGCTAAAATCCCCTACTTTAAGAATATGTACACATGGTCGAAAAAATCAAAATCACGATTCTAAGGGAAAAGGTAACTATGTTGACTAAGGATATCATGCTCCTAAGAGAAAATCATTCTGATTGAAAAGAAAAATGTATATTACAAAATTATTCCAACTGGTACGTGCACGACGCGTACGACTTAAGACGCTAACTATACTATTCATTCCTATATTTGATAATTACGTCTCTCACTGACAGAACTATTTTTCCCATGCAAAAAATACTAACATCTAAAAAAGACCTTTGCAATCACATGCTTGTATCATTACAGTAGTATGCAGCAAATTCATTAATCTCATCCATGAAGGATAATGAAAAAAGAAGAACAAATCCATGTGTCATCTCCTATGAAGCTTCATGAACATCTGAAATACATGCAGTCTCCTAGCTCAGCACTTATATGTTTTCCTGTACGGCTGCAATGGTTCTCATCTTGTGGAATGCAAACGGAATCTATGAAAATGCATTTTTTCTCTTCTGAAAATACAGTACTTTATAGTAGTGCAGAATTTAGTTGGGAGTAATCGTGATTTAATAAAAAACATTGTGGAATTTATGTCTATTGTTCAAGTTGAGCTTAAATCCAGTAACTCACTTTTTGTCTTTTCACATTTGGACAAGTCATCACTATCGAAATAGTTTCAGCTGCACAAGAGTGAAAAGGACGAGAACCACTGCACCATTGTTCCTCAACCTCACCTGCAGTTCTGTAATTAACCTTCTACACATTCTGATTGCGTAGGTCACCTCCCTGGACACTTACCTCGAAGATCTTCTTAGTAACATCAACCTGCAGTTTGGTCAAGATCTCTAGGTCCTTTTCCTCCAGGAGGCGGTCGCCGTACACGCGCTGGGTCTCGTGCAGCCAGCAGCGGAGGAGCTCGATGGGCGCCTTCACCGTCTCGCCCGTGCAGAAGAGGAGGCCCTGTGGCAATTTTAATCGTAAACTTTTAATTCGGTAAAGAGGAAAGAATCGTGCATCAGTTAAACGTCAATTTCTGTATGATCTCATTCAGTGTAAAATTATATCAGTTATTTCCTCTAACCGCCTTATACAACCATTTGTCCTCAACACTAATTATCGTAATTAAAGGTGTTAATATTAAAACAGGTTTGAATAGATATATTTCCGTAATAAAACTAAAGACCTACACTCATCAGCTATCAATGCGGCCAGATATCTTTATATACCTGGAAAATATTGGTGAGGTCCCGCAAGTTGAAGATGTAATGGAACTTAGTCGCCGTTGGCATGAATGTGCTGGTGACCTTCTGATGCAGCTGGAGGGCGGCCTGCACCAAGGGCTCTGTCATCTAGCGTGCAATGAATCTTCCATTAGGGGCATTCTTCCTAATTTTTATAATACTAACCTACTTTCTTCAATAGTAGCAATCTCATATTCTCTGTTTGTTTGCGTTTCCGTCTCTCTCTCTCTCTCTCTTTCTCTTCCTCTCTCTTCCTCTTCCCCCTCTACCTTTCCCGTTCTCTCTCTCTATCTCTCTCCCTTCCCCTCCCCTTCTCTCTCTCCCTCTTCTTCCTCCATTCTCACTTTCTCTAGCTAATTTTCGGCCCCCCTCCATCATGCTTTCCTCATTCTCTGTCTTTATTGTAACAACCGTAAATCTGTCTTACCCTAATTAGTGTTGGGTTGAACTTCATAGCAGTACTCTTCAAGTGTTGGTCCAGTAGCGAGGAGTATATCAGGTTGAGGCTCTCCATGCTCGGGAAACTGATGAAGAAGTTACAAAAGTAAGCATATCGATATAAAAGGTGGATACGAAAGATATTTTTGCATCGCCAGAGAGTATGCCGAAAAACGCATCGAGACTTTAAAATACACATGTATAAGTTTAATATAAATACTTAAATCTTTTAGTTAGAACCAGATTTGTTATGCGAGAAAAAAAAACAAAAAAAACATGACGTGTTGATATAATAAAAGATAAAGTGTTTCCTTCTTACTTTTAAAAGTATTACACAACTAATTTGTTTCGTTGACCTTCAGTTCAGTTCAGTGAGATTTGCGAAGACTAGCTTTGGCCAGGCCTTACTTATATGTGGCTTAGCCATCTTTGACCTTTATAGGTAGTACCTGACTGCAAGACACTGAAGTGGCGTTGAAGCCTAGGATTAATGGTGAAGGATCCTGCTGTGGGATTCATGGCGGCCACGTACTGCACGTTGTGGATGTCCTTGAGCGTGTGCTTGGTGCGGTCGTACCAGTGGCCGTAGTCCATGTGCTGCCGGATGAGCGTGTGGGGCTGCACCGTGCCGTACTGGTCGACCTGGCGGGCGGGAAGGGAGGAACTCGGATGAGCACAGGAAGGAGCCGAGAGAGCTGAACTGATAGCAATTGATCGGTGAAAGTGCTATTAGAAATATCAGAAGGGTTCGGGACGTAAGCATCGGTCCGGAAACCCTCGCCTACCATGGGCATGTTGATGTCGTCGATGAAGTAGACGAGTTTCTTGTTCCCCGGAGGAGCGTAGTTCTTCCCGGCCTTCTTCTCCAGAGGTCTCTCCAGCACGCGCTGCAGCAGCTCTGTGGAGATGCATTTTTTTTAGCTTAAGAAATATAATCTAAAGTAATATATTTTTTTCTATCGATTTTTTCCTTGAAATTGTAACACTTCAACAAACTCAGCATATTGGTGTACAAAACTTATTTCTCTCGCGATAGGTTTCAGAGAAACTGCAACATTGTTGAATTATATAACAGTATTATCAACTTGAAGCAGCTTTACTTTAGGTCTGCTTCTTTGAAATCAAAGGAGACATTATCGATCGGAATACTAAAATGCCCCAAAAGAAAAGATTTACAATACACTCTATGTGATTATTTAAGTTATCTTTCTTATAACTGAGGTGGTATTGACTGCAAAGGTTCTTACCTGAAGTGGTGTAGAAGTTGAAGGGGACGTTGCACACGGCGTACTCCTCCGGCAGAGAGTTGAGCTTCTCGTTGAGCAGCGCCGACTTGCCGCAGCCGGAGGTGCCCACCAGCATGACGGGGTGGCGCTTGTGCATCAGGAGGTCGATGAAGAACTTGAGGCGCACAGTCTCGCTCGTGTGCACCATCATGGACTGTGTGTGTTTATTTATGTGTTTGTTTTAATTTATATGTATATATGGAGTACAATTGCAAGTGCATGGTTAAGGACGGTTTCAGACGCAGTCGTCCATAGTTTGTAGTGTCATTTAATGTAATAGGGTATCGTGTTGTTGTGAGGTTGTTGTTATGCAGCAGCCAGAGGGACAAAGAACATCAGATCAGCACAAACTTCACATGGAAGCCCTGCAGTCCTTAACATCTATTTACAAGACACAACTCACATCTACACTTACATTACGAGATAACTATGTTCTTCTATGTTTTTTAGCGATGAAACAGTGACCTTAACACATCAGCCTGCCAATGAAAACTTTTTTTTTTTTTCCAGACAGTGAAATTAAATATTTTTTTTTGTGATTGTATTTTTGTTTGTGGGCAGTGGTGAAGGCGAGTTCGAGCATTATGAATACGGAACTGATGACTTATTGATGAAGTTGAAAATAGTTTTCAGATCAAAGTTAAATTAAGTATTTTCAGAGCTCCTACGATTATCATGTATACTTTAATTATCAGTATCATTTTATCATTATTATTATTAGTAGTAGAAATAATACTAAAAGTATTATCATGTGTATCATTATTATGGTATGTTTTTCAGTTCTATAATTATCGATATTATTATTTTAACATATATAATAATTATGTATCATTATCACCGTTGCCTGGCTATTGTATGGACTGACGTAATATCAGATATCATCATTGATACCATTATTCTAATAAAATTACTTATCGATATCATCACTATCAAATATTCTTAAATATTCTAAACATTTACTTATGAATATTTATAATCAGCATCATCACTACTACTTAACTCAAATTAGAAATAAAATCAAAAGAGAGATGAAATTTACGTAAATTCGACAAATGTAACATGATTGTAAGACAAACTCAGACTTCTTTGTAAACGAACTAAATATTGACAAATGCCTACCAGTGAATTGCAAAATGAGGTCAGTGAGTGAAGATGAGTATGTCTGTGAGTAGTGAGGGTGCCACACTCAGGCTTACGAGAACCCTGATCCAGGGCCTAACAACTCCAGCTCAGCACCACTGACACAGACTGGGATTCTGAGATAAGATGGACACGAGCTCAGCGTGAAGTGTCTGTGGCTTGGTGGCGCCGATATCCCAGGGGCCTTCTGCAGGCGCCGAGGGGCCTGAGTCTTAGCCAGGCTTTGGAGCTCTTGGTACCATAGAACAGGCTGGTTCATGTCTTGCTGCTCTGCACCTGTGGCTTGTGCTGAGGTGCCAACCTTTCATAACCAAAAGCTAAAGCTTAACAAGTCCTTTCTGAATATAACGTAGCAACACTTTAGTAATGGTTAGGATTTTTTTCTCTTTCATCCATATTATGTGAAAATATATATTGTGACTCAGAATCAAACTACTAGAAGGCAATCCTTTCCATACCCATTACAAAAGAGTTGCCTTTTTGGGTTTGAATAGTTCCAGTCCACACACGAATATTTTGAGCAAGGTGCTTTATTCAGTTCTGTTAAAAGTTGACACTGGAGTAATGGCAAAGTTTTTTATTTACTTAAATTTTCCTAGCTATGATGACTAATGATATCAATATATACAAACACCTTTATTCACTAATTTAAATTAACTTAGTGAGATTTAAGAAATGTAGATTTAGCTTGCAGATATTTAACATGTGTTTATACTACTCGCTAGGTGATGATGCAACTGCTGTTCTATGTGACAGTACAATCTAAATAAAAATTATCTAAATTCTTAGTGAAAATAGCGGTCAAAACATACAAGTGGTTCATCGCATCTAACTAGAAAAAAATCTTCACAAGGTCACAACAAGATGCATTTCTGAGTAGTGACAACCCGAAGGCTCTTGTCACTGTGGGAAGTGTAAGTGTTGAATGCTGAATTGTGGACAGACGATGGCAGATGAAGGAAATTAAATTGTGATTGAATAGCGTAAAATATGCGGAACTATTTCGGTCTTATGTATAATGTCGAAGTATTTTCCGAAAGGAGGGTGAAATAAGTAATGAGAACTGTAATACAAATATATGAGGTTTGGCACTAAATGTCGAAGATCGATATCATAAACCGAATATTTCAGATAGTAGAATTGATACATTACTGTCAGGATGATGAAAATTTCATTAAAGAGGTAGTGTCTGAGACAGAATAAAATAACCATGCCTGTAGACTGAATGGCAGTCAAAGTGCAAAATGTCTGTGAAAAGTTCGGAAAGGCCAGCTTCCATTGCAGAAGTCAAATATAAAGAGGAATGTTTCCTGTCTGTCTTTGTTGGAAGTATGTGAGGGTTGTTACCTGACACAGATATTGCATCAAGTAAAACAGAACAGTGACAGATACAATAGCTCTGAATTCCTTATTTGTTCGATATTTTTTTCCTGGACGTGATTAAACATCAGGGGTGCCAAATTGGTAAGACAAAAGTAAAAAAAAAAAAAAAAGAAAAAAAAGAAAAAAAAAGAAAATGAAGGATGAGTCCAATACCAAAAGTTTAGAAAATATATAGAAAGAATGGTAAAAACTGGAATACGGGAAGGAGTTCATGCCTCTTAGGTTTGTGCCGCTAAGCCAAGTTATAGGTGAGGGATTCAGCTTACTTGCAAATACATTAGACCTCACCAGTAACCCAGAGTTCATCTCGGACTGGTAAAATTTAAGTTTACATTGATGATGATCCTTTCATCGTAATATATGTTCTGAAATACTTTATATTTTTGTGCATACATTCTTTGATTTTTATTTACATAGTGTTCCTTTATTCCATTAAATAAGTTCATATAGACACGGAAAGACACAGCTACCACAGACTGGTTAGATAAACCTTTTCGTCTAAGTAAAGAAATCAAACGAACATTACGGGGAAATTTTCCGTTACTGCACGGTATTTAATTCATCATGAACCTGTATCTGTATGTTGCTATATGTTTCTGCGTCGATTAGCTTATTTTCCATTGTCTTCTAACTCTCACTATATATTTGAATGGTCTTTCGAATCGTGCCAATTTCGGATATATTTAAGAAGAGGATACAAAACAAGTACAGTGGTTGTAAAATGGTTATCGAGAGACGAAACGAACACTTAGAAAACACTGAAGACACATTCGCATAAAGGACACAAAATAGTTCAAGACTAAGGCCAAGGCAGAAATTGTCAGGATAACGTGATGGCACTGCTGTGTGGACACTGTAATTGTAGGAGTAATGTGAAATGTGTGAGAGCAACATTAGAAAGGTGGAGATGATGTGGCAGTGAAAAGAAAAGTCAGAAAATGGTGCAAGAGAGGGACAAAATCGCACAACGGACTTGTCTTATTCTTATTCTTTCATTGGAAAGAAGACATAAAACGAACACCATTTTTTATTCGCACACGAGCGCGCCCGCACACACACACACACACACACACACACACACACACACACACACACACACACACACACACACACACACACACACACACACACACACACACACACACAGGTGTTGCAACATAGCAGGCAGAGTGAAAAATAGCTCAAAGATTAACGAAACAAGAACAAAGCAATATGTATATATACATATGTATGTGTGTGTGTGTGTGTGTGTGTGTGTGTGTGTGTGTGTGTGTGTGTGTGTGTGTGTGTGTGTGTGTGTGTGTGTGTGTGTGTGTTCATATATATAAAACCGTAGGTTATTGTAGATTTTTTTCTTCTCTATTATGTGAATATGAGAGCACGATAGAAGACAACATATATTCCGTTTAGGAAACGGAAATGGTAACACTAAAAGCAAATCAACATTTGTTGAAGGAAAGGGATAAAACAAGCAAAGATAAAGATAGACAGCTACACATGGACACGCAGTGCAATGATCGAAATAGGCAATATCTGATGATGTACATAGGATATAAGAAGACAAAGAGACAGCGCGATCACTCATACGATTATCTGCTTAATAGTGAGAGATGGGTTAAAGCCTAACGGTGATTTGTCTAAAATGGAAGTGTCTGTAGAGTCACAAAAATTGTATTACGTGATGTCCTCAGAATTGCCACTTGGGTTCGATTAACAGTTTTTACCCTCGTGATATTGAAGATAAATGCGATGTATCAAAGCTAGTTCTCGTAACCATTTGCACAACAATTACAAAATCAGGTATTGGAACAAGTCAAAATCTTTAAGTTAAATGGCGCATTTTATTCAAATTTCTGAATTCGAGTATTGTTTATTGCGGCAGTGGTTTGAAAGGAACTTCCTTCACTGTCCTTCAGAGGAGGTAACAAAAGAGGACAACATGCTGAGGTTGTAACTTAAAAGGAAGCCAGCAGGAAAAGTTGGAAAGTGAGAATAACAGAGAGGCGAGAAGATTCCCACGGGAATCAAAACGTGATCCATCGGAATATACAGTTAGCCTCGGAATATAAAGTTATTATTATCATCACTGTTCCCTGAAGACAGAAATTCATTTTTTCCCTTTTCTCGGTAGTAAGAAAAACAATATTTTCTAGTGTTTTAAAGTGTCCTTGTTCTGTCGGTGCTGTTCATGTTTAAAAGGGCTAGACATGTATGGATGCTTATACATGCAACAACATTTCAACTCTCAATCTAATGTTCTAACGTATACCTCAAAACGTCACTCATATGCCGAAAATCCTTGCATTCAAGGCTTCACAGACTGACTAAAGAAAATTTCTACACATATGTGGGACAAAAGAAAAAGAAAACAACTTTCTCTCGCTGGATAACTCACTTTGATAATCTTTCGCCACTCCTGCGAAACGAAAATAACGCACAAATGTAAATTAGTTCCTCACTGTTTTAGTGTCAGGAAAAAAATATAATAGTAATAATAATGGAATTAAAGAGGCGCATTGTGAAGAATGGAGAAATAAAATGATAAAATTATATTGTGGTAGGTTTATAGCTCCCAATAGATAGGGTGAAAAAGAGGGTTAAGGCCGTTTTTTAAATCTTAAACTGTGGAGTTGGGGAGTTTAATCCATGCACTTTTAATTCCCATGCATCGTTTGTTTATTCGAAGGGTGACCTGAACAACCAAGTCGACGTCAGCTGCTTTAAGCCCAGGCTGACATCCACAGAGGTCGACGTCAGCCCGAATATTCGCTCTTCCCGAGGAATCTTGAGGCTGAATCGAGCGGAAAGTCACCGGGATGCGGGTCAGGGGAAGGAGGCCCAGTCAGGCGCCTGAGAGACGCGGAGGAGGAGCTTCACCTTAAGGGATCGGCGTCGTCAGTTGCTTCGAATCAGACATCTGATAAAACGTTCTTTTATGACGAGACACACGAAGATGCCTAATCATAAAAGGATATTTATGTCTATATTATGGTCTAATTCATGTCATTATTTATATTGAGAAATATTTTCTCTCGATTTAATTAATTAAATTTTTAGTCATACTACTATTTACTTCAATCAAGTGTAATTAGTGACTGGGACTCCGTGCTGCGAGCAGTTAAAAAGACGCAAATTAAAATCATGCACTCAGGGAAGTGACTGGCTGCCGGACACGCGTGCTGGGTGTAACAGCCTTACAGATGGGCGTCTCGCGCATCTCCGCCCCGCCCCTCAGCCCCACGCAGGACGCCGGGGATTCCCCTCAAGGAGTGGCGGCGCCCGTCCCTCAGACCGGCCGTCTGGGCGGTCGGACGCGACGGCGCGAGAACTCCCTGAGGAAGAGACCCGGCGTCCTGAAGGGGCCTCCGAAGGGCGGGTGTTGGGGACGGAGATGCAGGGAGGGGGATGCGCCACCAGACGACCTGTCCGACGGAGGCCTATATTTTGCCACCGACACGTGGGGGGCGAGTCGGGTTGGTCGGGGGGTTTCAGGACTCTCATCGAGTAACCACGACTCACCGACAACACCCGAGGACCAAGCGAATCCTGCTGGGGATGGGTATAGTGTCAAACGCAAGTGAATGACCCTGTTCGTTGGTTACAGTCATGCGCCTGAACTGCACTCGCCAGAATCATTCAGACAGACTATCATTATGCTCTGCTACTCAAGGAAGCGGCAGATGGAAAACTAAAAGCTACTGACTGTGACTGGTAAAAAGTAAAACCCTCGACATAGTAACTGAAGGGATAGGTTATTATGCTCTCCACTGCCTAAATTTCTGAAAGAAAAGTATAATTACTTGTTCTACAGTCGCAACGAAAACAAAAAAAGAGGAATAACAGCAGGTATCTCTTTGCTTAAGGTACTTCACTACAACTAATAGAAAATGTATTGTTGATACTGAACAACAAATTACAAAGTGTATCATACAATAGTGTCAGCTTCTGAATGCAAAAGCAATCTAGAATCCAGTTTCATGACCCTCTAAAAAGAAAATTTTTAAATACATCTATATATGCTAGAATGCTTCTGGCACACTCCATAACCCCTCACCTGTATTCACCTACAGTTTCTTTTATTCATTTCTAAAAATTACATCTGTATGACAGAAAATGTGATGACTCATCTTTCAGGAATTTAATATCAGAGAAAATTTGATAAAATAATAATCACGTATTTTTCAGGTGTGCGTCATAAATACAATTTGGCAACATATCGATCTAACAATATGCGTTTGTAACACTTCATTACGACTTTCACGTTTAATTAGATATGAAAATAGATTGGCTATATTCATGACTTTGGTTTTGGGGGATAAAACCTATGTTTCATTGACCATGAGAACCGATAATTACTTATGAATGTAAAAATATTATAATTTACTCTATATATTATGAAACGCACGTATATATAGTAATGCTAAGTACCGTGTGGTTCATATATTAGTATTCTGTAATTGATGTACATATACTTTAATTATCATATACCATAGTTAATTTATGCCATAACTTAAGGCAGTTTTCCAAATAATTCCTTATCGGATTCCTGAGTTTTCAGTTCAGAGATAAGCACAGCAAATAAACTTTATATCAATAATAATCCTGAAAAATAGAACTGGAAATTGAAGTAAATGGACATCCATAAAATAATTCTACAAATATATGTTTCTCCAACATTAAGGACTCAGTTATCAAAAACCTTAGAAAAGAGAGAGAAAAACTGAACAACTAATGCTATCCATTACATTGCAGAAATTAACGACAATACATTTTGAAATTCTTACACGTCATCCCAGCAGAACGAAACCATAAATTAACATGGTGAGGCCCTTCAGAACCCACCTGCAGCGGCGTGTCGGGATCGAGCTCGAACTTGGGGATCTTCTCCGACCAGGGCGTGAAGCGAAGGTTTTCCTTCTCGATGCAGTAGTCGAAGACGGTGCCTGAAGACGGGAACTTGACCGTCTTGAACTCCAGCTGGAACCACTTGCTGAACTCAACGCGATAATCGATGTTCTGGGCAGAAAACGTGCTTGTTATCATGACTAATATGGAGACAGGGATCAGAGTGATGGTAATTTTTCTCAAACATCAGATGCCAGGATCTGAATTCAAGAATTCTACCTCAATATGCCATAAAAAGAAACCAAACAGCTATGCCTTAGGAGTTCCTCCCCGGGCGCTACTCACTCCGTCCTGGTAGAGCGCCGACCCGAAGGCCCACACGGCGGCGAACACGAAGTACAGCTCGTAGACCTCCTTGGGGCTGTCAGGAGGCACGCTCTCCGGCGTCAGGAGGCAGTCCAGGAGCTGACACAGCATCATGAGATGCGTGATCTCGGGCATGGGCGTGATCCTCTTGAAGCGGACCCGCATGATCTCCAGGCAAGTCGGGATGTACTTGTCGAACAGGACCATGAGGTGGGCCTTCTCGCTCTGGACCTCACGGCTGTCGATCCAGCTAGTGACGTATCTAGAGACGAGGAGGGGGGTGGGAGGTAGGCATGTAAGGTTTCTAGGTCAGCTACTGTGTAGTCAAATTGGTTAACAGGATTAAACTATGATATTAATGCGATTATTGGAGAGTGTTTTTCTCGAGTAAATTATGTGAAACAAGCATTGTTGAACTAAAAACATTTTTTTTCTGTAATCCCATATTCAGGCGTCTTAATGATTTACAAAAATAAAATCATAAGTCTTATCAAAGCTCAGTAACCCATCGAACAAGACAAAGGAAACCCATAGAAGAATTCTTAAGACGCAACCCCGGGGACGAGGCAACCAAGGTCAAAGGGCACGCACGGGTTCCAGCCCAGGTCGCCCTGGTTCAGGTAGATGATGCCGGCGCGAGACACGGTGGCCGGGGTGGCCGTGCGCAGGTGGCTGATCTCGAACAGGAGGCGCATCTGCGGCGTCAGCGAAATGCGCTCGTTGCTAGCCAGCGTCAGGATCTGGAGGGAGGGGCCAGGGCCAAGGAATGGAGGGAAAACATTTGTTAGTTCAAATTAGAAGGTCATGCCAATAGGGAATATGTAATTTTCTGTGTGTAAAAGATAAAAGAACGTGTGTATGTGTCTACCTACCTTGTTGTCGTCCATGAGCGTGTTGAGGGACTCGATCCACATGGGGTCGATGTCGCCATCCAGGATGATCCACTTGGGAGCGTCGCCAGCCATGTTGGCTTGGTCGCGCATCAGGTTAGAGAAGAGGCCTGGGGAAGGTGCAGGGGGAAATGATGAAGAAATATAACTAAAATAGGAATGAAAATTCTGATTAAGAAACTATCAGTAAGAATAATCATAACTTGATAATGATGATAATAATAATTCTAGCAAGACCAGATGTATGGTTCAGGTGTAAAAAGCATACAGGAATGCTAATGATTACCATTTTTGTGACGAAAAATAATCTGAAAATAATCATTACTATGCTCATTGCCCCCTAGGAGCGCGCCTCACCGTCCTTCCACTCCCTGGTAGCAGGATTGATGTAGCCGAAGAGCTCGTCCGTCGTCACAGCCTTCGGGTTCAAGTCGTAGCACACGGGCTTCTTCTTCATGTTCTGCATCGTCCTGAAGAGTGTGCGCCACACCTGCGTCTTGCCCGTGCCCGCCTGCCCGATGATGAACACGCTGTGACGCACCTCCAGGAGCTCCTTCAGCTGCACCACCTACGGGAGAAGCGGAGGGACGAGTGGAATTAGGTCGGGTAGATGCATGATATCCGTCCATGTGGAAGACCACAGAAAAGTTTGTGTTGCCCTAATGTTTTGAGAGGGGAGGCAGGTCTCACTGCCATGAAGCCCCTAACCTTGAGTATGAAGCTATCCTCTGGTTGCAGCTTGAGGTCAACCGCCGCTTCCTTGACGGCCTTCTCGAAGTCGAGGTCCTTTTTACGGGGAACGTCCAGGGCGGGGAAGAGGTCCCCGATGAGGCCCATGAACACGGGTACATCGTCGGTCACGATTTTCGGCACATTGTAGTCCCTGAGGGCTCGCATCAGCACCTGGTCCTCAGGGCGCTCAGGGTCGTCGCGCTGAAAGTAATGAGCGCAACTTCAACAAAAACAGACAAATTAGATCAATGCAGAATAATGGCCGCAACGTTTGATGATAGTCTACAATACGATCAGCGACGAACCTTGAGAGATCCGGCAACCACAAGTAAACTCTTGATCGCCCTCAGGCCCCAGTCGTAATGGCTCTGTTTGGAAAGCAACTCGCGGCAAAGGCGGTAGAGAGTAATGAACTTCCGCGCGAGGACCTTCGCCTCGATGAAGCCTTCCGCCACCAGCATGATCTCGCAGATGAGCTCCAGATCAGGCACCACCATCGCGCATGGCCTGCAGACCCGAAATGTATTGGTGATTTGTTACTTTTTTTGGGTTGTTTCATTTTTGAATATCTATTTTTGTCTCCATATAACTTTCTCATTGTCTATACCTACACAGAACATGGTTATGCAACAATATTAAATTTCGCTCTCACGCAGAAACAGAAAATGCCATCGCACCTGAAGAGAACCTTGAGGTTCTCCGGCAGCTCGGTCCTCCCGGCGTAACCTGGGTTCATGGTGATGAAGATGCCGACCGAGGGAGTCAGTCGGATCGGCTCGCCCATGAAGTCGAAGTTTTTCTTTTTGTTCCTGATGGCATCCTGGTCAAGGTAGTAAAAACATGTGCATTTCATCAAGGGTTTTATTTTATCCATCGGAACAAACAAATTTATTTTACTTTTCATACTTATATGAAACATAAGAAACAGAAAAATATAAATCAACCATCGTCTTACCTGCACACTCTTCACCTGGACAGCCACGACAGAAAGAACTTCTACTGATATCCTGTTGAACTCGTCGAAGCAGCCCCAGGCGCCGGTCTGCGCCAGACCCTTGTAGATGTTGCCGCAAGACTGAAGGTAAACGTTTTTTTTTTTAATCAATATGAAACCCTCTAATTATTCATACTAGCCTTATCACTCTTCAAGGGCAAATATTTTCGCAATGGTTATAATAAATCTGTCTTCTGATCTTTCAGTATTCAATCTATTGATTACTATATGCTATTTTACAGTTACTTCTAATGGAAGAATATCTTTGATTAAAAAGAAAAAAATCATTTGCATACAAAAGTACGTGAGACCATCTGTGAGACAGATATTGGTTATTCAAGATCAAGGCTGCCTCGCGAGCCTCACCTTGTAGTCCATCTGCTCGGAGCAGTTGAAGACGTAGACCATCATGCCGAGGGCGCGGCCGAGGTCCTTGGTCGTCTCGGTCTTGCCCGTTCCCGCAGGCCCCGAGGGAGCGCCGCCCATCACCAGGTGCAGCGACTGGCGAGAGAAAAAGCAAAGGTGACCTTCAGGAGCGGCGAGTCTGGGAAGCGGATTGGGAGTTAGAGAGGGTGCTTGTCTAACTGTGGGAGACGGGGGGGGGGGGGCAGAGAGAAACAGACAGACAAGCAGACAGACAGACAGAGTGACAGACAGACAGACAAACAGATAGACAGGCAGACAGAGAGAGAGAAAAAAACAGACAGAAAAATAGAAAGAGAGAAACAGACAGACAGAGCGAGAGAGGGAGGGGTAGATAAAAAGAGAGTGAATGAGAGGGAGAGGGAAAACACGAGAAAGAGCGGAAGAGAAAGAGAGAGAAGGCTGTACCCCGCTTCCCGTGGGCGGCTCACACACCTGCGTGAGGGTGATGTAGCAGCGGTCCGTGAGGGGCGTGATGACGAGGCGCGGCGTGTTGCCCAGGTACTCGTGGTCGTACTTCATGCGGGCGTCGCAGATGTCCATGAAGCAGTCGGCCTCCTCCTCGTCCCACCTGTGGGCGTGGGCGGGGTTTGTTAGGGGCGTCTGTCGCGGATTTCTTTGACTAGCCTTAGTCTACTGCTCTACTTTTTCAGCGTCTTAGTGATGAGAAGAGGATGTGAATATGGGAATAAATAATTTGAAAATGCTGCTCTGCAATAAGAGAAGCTAAATCTTTTAGCAAAGTTATCTTTCAAAACTAGTCTTCCTTATCTTGAACAACAAAATTAGTGTTTATCCCATAACGTCTGACTACACCTTTTCCCAGCCGCAACAGCCTCCATTTCCTTCCCCTGGCAGTACCGTGTCCTCCCGAGGGCGAGGGAGTGACTCACCCAGGGCGAGGGAACGACTCACCCAAGGCGAGGGAGCGACTCACCCAGGGAAAGGGAGTAACCCACCCAGAGAGAGGGAGTGACCAACCCAGGGGGAGAGAATAGCTCCCCGAGGGTGAGGGAATGACTCACCGTGGGCGAACGATTGACTCACCCAGGGCGAGCGAGTGACTTAGCGAGGTAGAAGGAAGTGACTCACCCAGGGCGAGCGAGTGACCTAGCGAGGTAGAAGGAAGTGACTCATCCAGGGCGAGAGAATGACTCACCCAGGGCGAGGGAGCGACTCACTCAGGGCGAGGGAGTGACTCACCCAGGGCGAGGGAGTGACTCACCCAGAGCGAGGGAGTGACTCACCCAGGGCGAGGGAGTGACTCACCCAGGGTGAGGGAGTGACTCGCCCAGGGCGAAGGAACGACTCACCCCTGGCAAGGGAGTGAATCCCTGAGGGCGAGGGTGTGACTCACCCCGTGCGAGGAAGTGACTCGCCCAGGGCGAAGGAGCGACTCACCCCTGGCAAGGGAGTGAATCCCTGAGGGCGAGGGTGTGACTCACCCAGAGCGAGGGAATGACTCGCCAAGAGCGAGAGAATGACTCCCCGAGGGCGAATGAGTGACTCACCCAGGGCGAGGGAGCGACTCGTCACCCAGGGCTAGGGAGTGACTCACCCAGGGCGAGGGAGTGACTCACCCAGGGCGAGGGAGTGACTCGCCCAGGGCGAAGGAGCGACTCACCCCTGGCAAGGGAATGAATCCCTGAGGGCGAGGGTGTGACTCACCCAAAGCGAGAGAATGACTCCCCGAAGGCGAGGGAGTTACTCAACCAGGACGAGGGAGTGACTCACACAGGGCGAGAGAATGACTCCCCGAGGGCGAGGGAGCGACTCAACCAGGCGAGGGAGTAACCCACCCAGGGAGAGGGAGCGACTCACCCAGGGCGAGGGAGTAACCCACCCAGGGAGAGGGAGCGACTCACCCAGGGCGAGGGAGTGACTCACCAAGAGCGTGTGAGTGACTCACCCAGGGAGAGGGAGTAACCCACCCAGGGAGAGGGAGTGACTCACTCAGGGCGAGGGAGCGACTCACCCAGGGCGAGGGAGTGACTCACTCAGGGCGAGGGAGTGACTCACCCAGGGCGAGGGAGTGACTCACCCAGGGCGAGGGAGTGACTCGCCCAGGGCGAGGGAGTGACTCGCCCAGGACGAAGGAGCGACTCACCCCTAGCGAGGGTGTGACTCACCTAGTGCGAGGGAGTGACTCGCCCAGGGCGAAGGAACGACTCACCGCTGGCAAGGGAGTGAATCCCTGAGGGCGAGGGTGTGACTCACCCAGAGCGAGGGAGTGACTCGCCAAGGGCGAATGAGTGCTTCACCCAGGGCGAATGAGTGACTCACCCAGGGCGAGAGAGTGACTCGCCCAGGGCGAAGGAGCGACTCACCCCTGGCAAGGGAGTGAATCCCTGAGGGCGAGGGTGTGACTCACCCAGAGCGAGGGAGTGACTCGCCAAGGGCGAGAGAATGACTCAGGGCGAATGAGTGACTCACCCAGGGCGAATGAGTGAATCACCAAGGGCGAGGGAGCGACTCGTCACCCAGGGCGAGGGAGCGACTCGGGGCGAGGGAGTGACTCACCCAGGGCGAGGGAGTGACTCGCAACAGGGCGAAGGAGCGACTCACCCCTGGCAGGGGAGTGAATCCCAGAGCGAGAGAATGACTCCCCGAAGGTGAGGGAGTTACTCAACCAGGACGAGGGAGTGACTCACACAGGGCGAGAGAATGACTCCCCGAGGGCGAGGGAGCGACTCACCCAGGGCGAGGGAGTGACTCACCCAGGGAGAGGGAGTAACCCACCCAGGGAGAGGGAGTGACTCACTCAAGGCGAGGGAGCGACTCACCCAGGGTGAGGAAGTGACTCACCCAGGGCGAGGGAGTGAATCCCTGAGGGCGAGGGTGTGACTCACCCAGTGCGAGGGAGTGACTCGCCCAGGGCGAAGGAGCGACTCACCCCTGGCAAGGGAGTGAATCTCTGAGGACGAGGGTATGACTCACCCAGAGCGAGGGAGTGACTCGCCAAGGGCGAGAGAATGACTCCCCGAGGGCGAATGAGTGACTCACCCAGGACGAGGGAGCGACTCACCCAGTGAGAGGGAGTAACTCACCCAGGGAGAGGGAGTGACTCACCCAGGGAAGGGAGTGTCTCACCCAGGGCGAGGGAGCGACTTACCCACGGCGAGGGAGTGACTCACACAGGGCGAGAGAATGACTCCCCGAGGGCGAATGAGTGACTCACCCAGGGCGAGCGAGTGACTTAGCGAGGTAGAAGGAAGCGACTCACCCAGGGCGAGAGAATGACTCCCCGAGGGCGAACGAGTGACTCATCCAGGGCGAGAGAATGACTCCCCGAGGGCGAGGGAGTCACTCACAAAGGGCGAGGGAGTGACTCACCCAGAGCGAGGGAGTGAGAGTCACTCCCTGGCAAAGGGAGTGAATCTCTCACCCAGTGCGAGGGAGTGACTCACCAGGGCGAGGGAGCGACTACCCAGGGCGAAGGAGCGACTCACCCAGGCGAGGGAGCGACTTACCCAGGGTGAGGGGAGCGACGGCCAGGGAGCAGGCAACCAACCCAAGGCAAGGGAGTGACCAACCCAGGGGGAGAGAATGACTCACCAAGAGCGTGGGAGTGACTCACCCAGGGAGAGGGAGTAACCCACCCAGGGAGAGGGAGTGACTCACCCAGGGAAGCGAGTGACTCACTCAGGGCGAGGGAGCGACTCACCCAGGGCGAGGGAATGACTCACACAGGGCGAGGGAGTGACTCACCCAGGGCGAGGGAGTGACTCACCCAGGGCGAGGGAGTGACTCACCCAGGGCAAGGGAGTGACCAACCCAGGGAGAGGGAGTGATTCACCCAGGGAGAGGGAGTAACCCACCCAGAGCGAGGGAGCGACTCACCCAGGGCGAGGGAGCACCTTACCCAGGGCGTGGGAACGACTCACCCATGGGGAGGGAGTGACTCGCCCATGGCGAAGGAGCGCCTCACCCCTGGCAAGGGAGTGAAACCCTGAGGGCGAGGGTGTGACTCACCCAGAGCGAGGGAGTGACTCACCCAGGGAGAGGGAGCGACTCTCACCCAGCGTGACTCAGCAAGGGAAGGGAGTGACTCACCCAGGGAGAGGGAGTGACTCACCAAGAGCGTGGGAGTGACTCACCCAGGGAGAGGGAGTAACCCACCAGGGAGGGAGTGACTCACCCAGGGAAGGGAGCACCAGGGCGAGGGAGCGACTCACCCAAGGCAAGGGAGTGACCAACCCAAGGCAAGGGAGTGACCAACCCAGGGGGAGAGAATGACTCACCAAGAGCGTGGGAGTGACTCACCCAGGGAGAGGGAGTAACCCACCCAGGGAGAGGGAGTAACTCACCCAGGGCGAGCCTCAGGGCGAGGGAGTGACTCACCCAGGGAGAGGGAATGACTCCCCGAGGGCGAATGAGTGACTCACCCAGGGCGAGGGAGTGACTCACCCAGGGCGAGGGAGTGACTCACCCAGGGCGAGGGAGTGACTCACCAGGAGCGTGGGAGTGATTCACCCAGAGAGAGGGAGTAACCCACCCAGGGCGAGGGAGCGACTCACCCAGGGCGAGGGAGCGCCTTACCCAGGGCGTGGGAACGACTCACCCAGGGCGAGGGAGTGACTCACCCAGGGCGAGGGAGTGACTCGCCCAGGGCGAAGGAGCGCCTCACCCCTGGCAAGGGAGTGAAACCCTGAGGGCGAGGGTGTGACTCACCCAGGGAGGGAAACTCACCCAGGGAGAGGGAGTGACTCACCATGGGTGACTCACCCAGGGAGAGGGAGTAACCCACCCAGGAAGAGGGAGTGACTCACCCAGGGAAGGGAGTGACTCACCCAGGGAAGGGAATGACTCACCCAGGGGGAGGGAGTGACTCACCCAGGGAGAGGGAATGACTCACCCAGGGAGAGGGAGTAACCCACCCAAGGTGAGGGAGCGACTCACCCAGGGCGAGGGAGCGACCAACCCAGGGGGAGAGAATGACTCACCAAGAGCGTGGGAGTGACTCACCCAGGTAGAGGGAGTAACCAACCCAGGGAGAGGGAGTGAGTCACCCAGGGCGAGGGAATGACTCACACAGGGCGAGGGAATGACTCCCCGAAGGCGAATGAGTGACTCACCCAGGGCGAGGGAGTGACTCGCCCAGGGCGAAGGAGCGACTCACCCCTGGCGAGGGTGTGACTCACCTAGTGCGAGGGAGTGACTCGCCCAGGGCGAAGGAACGACTCACCCCTGGCAAGGGAGTGAATCCCTGAGGGCGAGGGTGTGACTCACCCAGAGCGAGGGAGTGACTCGCCAAGGGCGAATGAGTGACTCACCCAGGGCGAGAGTGACTCAGGGCGAGGGAGCGACTCACCCAGGGAGAGGAAGTGACTCACCCAGGGAAGGGAGTGACTCACCCAGGGCGAGGGAGCGACTCACCCAAGACGAGGGAGTGACACCTAGGGAAGGGAGTGACTTACCCAGGGAGAGGGAGTGACTCACCTAGGGCGAAGTAGTGACTCACCTTGGGCGCGGGAGTGAGTCGCTCCTTCGCCCTGGGCGAGTCACTCCCTGGCAAGGGAGTGAATCTCTGAGGGCGAGGGTGTGACTCACCCAGTGCGAGGGAGTGACTCACCCAGGGCGAGGGAGCGACTTACCCAGGGCGAAGGAGCGACTCACCCAGGGTGAGGGAGCGACTTACCCAGGGTGAGGGAGCGACTTACCCAGGGTGAGGGAGCGACTCACCCAGGCCAGGGAGCGACTCACGGCAAGGGAGTGACCAACCCAGGGGGAGAGAATGACTCACCAAGAGCGTGGGAGTGACTCACCCAGGGAGAGGGAGTAACCCACCCAGGGAGAGGGAGTGACTCACCCAGGGAAGGGAGTGACTCACCCAGGGCGAGGGAGCGACTCACCAGGGCGAGCTCACCAGGAGCGTGGGAGTGACTCACCCAGGGAGAGGGAGTAACCCACCCAGGGAGGGAGCGACTCACCCAGGGCGAGTGAGACCCAGAGTGACTCACCCAGGGAGAGGAGTAACCCACCCAGGGAGAGGGAGTGACTCACCCAGGTGACTCACCCAGGGCGAGGAGCGAACCCAGGAGGGAGCGACTTACCCAGGGCGAGGGAGTGACTCACCCAGGCGAGGGAGGACTCACCAGGGGGAGGGAGTGACTCACCCAGGGAGAGGGAGCGACTCACCCCTGGCAAGGGAGTGAAACCCTGAGGGCGAGGGTGTGACTCACCCAGTGCGAGGAGTGCGAACTCACCCAGAGCGAGGGAGTGACTCGCCAAGGGCGAGAGAATGACTCCCCGAAGGCGAGGGAGTGACTCACCAGGAGCGTGGGAGTGACACCCAGAGAGAGGGAGTAGCCCACCCAGGGCGAGGGAGTGACTCACCAAGGGCGAGGGAGCGACTCACCCAGGGCGAGGGAGCGACTCACCCAGGGGGAGGGTAGTGACTCACCCAGGGAAGGGAGTGACTCACCCAGGGAGAGGGAGTGACTCACCCAGGGAGAGGGGGTGACTCACCCAGGACGAGGGAGTGACTCACCCAGGGAATGGAGTGACTCACCCAGGGAGAGGGAGCGACTCACCTAGGGCGAGGGAGTGACTCACCCAGGGCGAGGGAGTGACTCATCCAGGGCGAGGGAGCGACTCACCTAAGGCAAGGGAGTGACCATCCCAGGGGGAGAGAATGACTCCTCGAAGGCGTGGGAGTGACTCACCCAGGGAATGGAGTGACTCACCCAGGGCGAGGGAGCGACTCACCCAGGGCGAGGGAGTGACTCACCCAGGGCGAGGGAGTGGCCAACCCAGGGGAAGAGAATGACTCCTCGAAGGCGTGGGAGTGACTCACCCAGGGAGAGGGAGTGACTCACCCAGGGCGAAGGAGTGACTCACCCAGGGCGAAGGAATGACTCACCCAGGAAGGAGCGACTCACCGAGGGCGAGAGAGTGACTCACCCAGGGCGAGGGAGCGACTCAACCAGGGTAAGGGAGTGACTCACCCAGGGCGAGGGAGCGACTCAACCAGGGAGCTCACCAGGGCGAGGGAGCGACTCACCCAAGGCAAGGGAGTGACCAACCCAGGGGGAGAGAATGACTCCTCGAAGGCGTGGGAGTGACTCACCTAGGGAGAGGGAGTGACTCACCCAGGGCGAAGTAGTGACTCACCCAGGGCGAAGGAGTGACTCACCCAGGGCGAAGGAATGACTCACCCAGGAAGAGGGAGTGACTCACCCAGGGCGAGAGAGTGACTCACCCAGGGGAGGAGCGACTCAACCAGGGCGAGGGAGTGACACCCAGGGCGAAGGAGTGACTCACCCAGGGCGAGGGAGTGACTCACCAAGAGCGTGGGAGTGACTCACCCAGAGAGAGGGAGTAACCCACCCAGGGAGAAGGAGCGACTCAACCAGGGCGAGGGAGTGACTCACCCAGGGAGAGGGAGTGACTCACCCAGGGCGAGGGAGCGACTCACCCAAGGCAAGGGAGTGACAAACCCAGGGGAAGAGAATGACTCCTCGAAGGCGTGGGAGTGACTCACCCAGGGAGAGGGAGTGACTCACCCAGGGCGAAGTAGTGACTCACCCAGGGTGAAGGAGTGACTCACCCAGGGCGAAGGAGTGACTCACCCAGGGCGAAGGAATGACTCGCCCAGGGCGAAGGAGTGACTCACCCAGGAAGAGGGAGTGACTCACCGAGGGCGAGAGAGTGACTCACCCAGGGCGAGGGAGCGACTTACCCAGGGCGAGGGAGCGACTCAACCAGGGCGAGGGAGCGACTTACCAGGCGAGGGAGCGACTCAACCAGGGCGAGGGGAGTGACTCACCCAGGGCGAGGGAGTGACTCACCCAGGACGACTCACCCAGGGCGAGGGAGCGACTCACCCAGGCGAGGGAGTGACTCACCCAGGACGAGGAGTGACGAGGGAGTGACTCACCCAGAGAGAGGGAGTAACCCACCCAGGGAGAGGGAGTGACTCACCCAGGGAATGGAGTGACTCACCCAGGGCGAAGCAGTGACTCACCAAGGGCGAGGGAGTGACTCACCTGTGGCGGAGCTGCAAGAGCGTGGAGTGACTCACCCAGAGAGAGGGAGTAACCCACCCAGGAGAGGGAGTGACTCACCCAGGAATGGAGTGACTCACCAGGGCGACCA